ACCAGGCGCTGGTCTGGTTGAAGACCGACCAGGCGCGGTTTTAAGTCCGTCTGACGGAGGGGGCGATTTGCTGTGGGTTGCCTACTTTCAGGGGTTTTGTTGGACAAATTGGGTGTCGAGGAGGTACGGGGGATTGGGGAGCAGAAGGTGGAAGGGTAATGGGTCCCCGATCAATACGTCACAGAGTGGCAACGTGACGACGTGACGGCGAGGCTGCGGTCGTCAGACCACCTCATCAGACCACCTCCCTCCACCCCCACCTCCGGTCGAGTTAGGACCGCAGCCCAACTGGGTCATTGCAGCGGCGCCGAGTGTCCGGCGTGGCGCACACAATGCGCCGATAGTGCGCCGCGCCCCGCCACGCCCCGCCCTGCGCCGCCCCGCCGCGCCCCGCGAACACTCGGCTGGAGCGGCAGCCATGTTGGCACCAACCACAAACAATGCGAGTCATTCCCTCACCCTAGGCAGGAGCTGTGTGGTCCCCACCTCCACCCTCCACTCCAGTCATGAATTCAAAGTCCCTCTTCGCCTGCCCGCTTTTTAATCCTCTTTTCCTGCCCCCCACCTTTGCAGCTGTCGAACCAGATCTCGTTCTCCTCCGTGGACTACACGGTGGCGGGCGAGGGCGACGGGGTGTTCCCCGAGGCGGCGCAGCCCGCCAGCCAGCAGGTGGAGGAGGTGGCCGAGGTGTACGAGCCGCCCTCCGGGCCGCCCCCGGCCATGCCGCCCCCGGGGCCGCCCCCCGCGGCGCCCGCCGCCGCACCACCGTCCCACCCGACGCCGCAGCCACTCAGGTGAGCAGAGTTTCCACTTAAAGCGACCGCGTGCCGCCGTGCCGCTCCTCTCACTCACGGGGGAGAGAGAGAGACACAGAGAGAGCCCGCTACTACTTCTGCGGACCGTCGACGAGACGTCCCACCAAAAAGCATGAAAGGTTTGTTTTTCCCTTCGGCAGCCTGGTGGGCGACCTGGGCTACTGCATCGCGCTGTACGACTACGAGGCGACGTGCGCCGAGGAGCTGTCCTTCTGCGAGGGCGAGGTGGTGCGCATCCTGCGCAAGGTGGTGCACGACGACGTGGACGACGGCTGGTGGGAGGGCGAGCTCAACGGCCAGAAGGGGCTGTTCCCCTCGCTCGTCGTGGAGGAGTGCCACGCCAACGGCGAGCCCATCACGCCATCGGTAAACTGAACCGCCATGCACACTCCTGCAGCTACACTTGATACATACATGGTGTTCGACTAGTAAAGCCCCTCTCCCTCTCCCAAGGCTGACGAGACGCCGCCGATGTCCGCGCCGCCCGTGTTCACGCCGCCGGAGGCGCCGCCGTCCTTCATGCTGGCGCCGCAGTCCGTGATCGTGACGCAGGCCACGCCCATGGTGGAGGACCCCAACGAGCCCAAGGACGGTAAGCACGAGCATCGCCCCAGAGGCCATGACGGCCGACGGGAACCCCTCCCCACCCGGACGGACGTAGCCTGGTCCCTCCGAGCACACGGCATGCCACGTTAGTCTTGGTCACATGAATGCCTAATCATTCTTATAGTTCATCTCAGAGAGTATAAAACCCCGTTACGTGGCGAAGTCAAATTCAGGATACTAAGGGCATACGTATAAGAGTTACATACTTCACACTCTCGACAAGTTTATCATGTGAAATAAGTGCTTTTTTGCCTCTTAATCTTTTTATCTTTCTCTTGACTTTTCATCTAAACTATTTTTGTCATTAAAACTCGCTTCTGTATTGAGAATAGTCTCTGCATGTATATGTGTTCTCTGTTGCATTTTTGGACATGGCCAGCAAAGCAAGATCGCAAACAGACCGCCGCTTCTGCTAATTGCGCCAAACATTTTGTATTTCTTTTCTTTTCAATTAACTGTTAGATCAATATTACTCTGCCCGACACGATGGCATGAACACTGGCATCTCTTCCAAACATTTTCACCACTTCCATTCTCTTCACTTTCATATTTCACCCGCCGCCAAGCGAACAAACTGTACAAGGCTTCTACTCTGCTGTCCTGTTCTTTTTGCCCTTCGCTCATTTATTTCCAGGGAGGAGGGACCTGGGGCTCTTTGCCCTTGTGCTTTTGTGGGTTTCAACATTGATACCCCACGTCATGGCCGTTGGAAAATTTGATAAATTAACCCCACTCAACATGATAGACTTTTCCTAAATAAATTTCTTTTGCGACTTTTCACGGACAATGTACTCGTCAAATCCTTGCCGTGAGAAGTCTCCTTTACATTGTAATGTATGTAATGCAGCATTTGCAGCAGCCAACACATTGCCATTCACAAACTCAATTTGACAAAAGGAAACGCGACGATTCTCTTTTACTGTGCATGACGAGTGGCGACACTGCTTGGCTGCCGCTGATGCTCGATATGTATGTTGTGTGTGTGTGTCGCTTGGATCAGACTCCCAGCCGGTGGCGCCGCCAGCCCCCGCACCGGAGCCGAAAAAGTTCAGCTTTTCCATGGAGATGGAGGGCAGCAAGTATAAGAAGTACGATAGTCAATTTCCGGAGGGTTCAGGTAAGAATACCACGTGTGTTTTCCCTACTTTAGGACGTGATGCCGCGAGCGTCTCGAGGCATTGCTACTATAGTGAGAGCTTCAGAGGCGGAGAATACCTCAGGTTTCTCACTGACTTTACATTTTCCACGCCGTTTTCCATCTTTATTCATAGTAATGAAACAGGTGCCACAATATGGCCCAACTCGTCCCAAACAAAAATATGAACAAGAATACACAAACATTTCGTGCGAAGGAGATGCCGTCACACACTCCTACGGAGCCAGTCAGTTGACCTCTCTCTGCATGGTTGGTTATAGAGCGAGTAGAATGGGTTGCCTACCCTGCAGCCACCAGGCGCTGGTCTGGTTGAAGACCGACCAGGCGCGGTTTTAAGTCCGTCTGACGGAGGGGGCGATTTGCTGTGGGTTGCCTACTTTCAGGGG